ACCCTCAGCTTCTGCCCTCTTTGGGAATCTCCTTGCCTGAAGAAGCTGCCTTGCCCAAGGTGATAGCCCACATCAAATGACTGATTGATATGGTGATAAAAAGGCCCTGTCTTCTTGCCACAACTTGAGACAATTCAGCAAAACTACCCCAGCCTCAGAGCTCTTTCTGGGGTCAGCTGAGCCCTCCATTGCAAAGGCATGACAGCTCACCTTCTCCTTCTCCCAACCCTGCTTTCCATGCCTGCTTTCCTCAGGTGTTGCCCCCACTCCATCATCAACCTTCTGCCTGGTCACCCCCTCTTCGAGCATGCTTCCCATGGAGACCAACCTGGGGCAAGCCTCCATGTGTGGGAGTGGGAAACTAGTTAGATACATTGTTGTCCAACCATTGGATGGAATACTTTGTTGCTATTAAAAATGCTGCTTGTGATAACCATGAAGGAAATGAAAATGAAATATAAGTGATAAATTATAATTGATGAAAGCACAATACAGATTTCTATGAAGGCCACAATTACTATTATGTACAACATCTCCACAGGGTCTGGACTGAGAGCAATGCACACAAACTGAATTGTTGTTTGGGATGGAGAGAGAAGATGGGTCCTCTGATTTATTTTGAGATGTTTAAAATCATTATTATGACATCATTTCCATAGCAGATGGAAAGGTATACTGAATAATTAGTCAGAAATTAACCTGATAAAAAGAAGACTAAAAAAATTTCAATAGTATGTATCCTATTTTGTAGAAAACACTTCTTCTTAGGGAGAAGAGTTGGATCAAATTCTTAATATGTTCTTCTGTCCTGTTGTTGTTATTGTCACCCCTGGTTGGATGCCCGGAGGCAGGAGCTATGAAAATATAAAAAAGTATCCCCGCCCATCCAGCCCACATGCCCAAGAAACCTAAGTGAAATAAACATTCCCCTTTCACCAAATCACCATCCTGGAGTTTCCTAAAAATAAGAGCAAAAAGAAACCCCTAAATTGAATGTCATCACTTTTGTCTTATGCATAGTTTTTTCTACCTATTTAAGATCTTTGGCATTGGAAGCATTTCTCAGGCTTCCAGGAATTTCCCCCTTCCTATGAATTCAGTTGCCTTTTAATCTCTGATCCCGCAGGACAGCCCCGTTCTTTCCTCGGAGGCATATTCTCCACAAGGTGGATAATGGCAGTCCCTCACTGAGCTCGTCCCCCTGCAAGACCCCTCAGAGTGGGTGCCCTCCCAGGCATGTCCCCACCACTCTATTTCCCTGGAGAGCCAAGCTCATCAGAAGAGAAGCTCAAGGAAGGTTAAGACAGGTACATTCTGGTGTGACAGTTTCTCAAAAAATTGAACATTGAATTACTATGCGATCCAGCAATTCCACTTCTGGATATATATACAGAAGAACTGAAAACAGGAACTCGAATGGATATCGTACACCCATGCTTCTAGCGGCATTATTTGTGAAAGCCTAAAGGTGGAAACAACCCAAGTTCTGTTGAAAGATGAGTGGATAGACAAAATGTGGTATATGCATACAATGGAGTACTATTCAGCCATAAAAAGGAAGGAAATTCTGACACATGCTACAACATGAACCTTGAAGATATTATGCCAAGTGAAATAAATAGATCACAAAAGGACAAATATCATATATTCCAGTTGTAGGAAATACCTAAAGCTGTCTAATTCATAGACACAGAATGGGGGTCTCTAGGGATTGCAGAGAAGGAGGTATGGGGGTGTTAATGGGGAAGGAGGTTCAGTTGAAGATGATGAAAACGTTCTGAAGATGGATGTTCATGATGGTTACACAACAGTATGAGGGTCCTTAATGATGTCTCTGGACTTTCCACTTAGAAAACAGTTAAAATGATAAATTCATATATATATAACCACCACTTTAAAAAATATAAATAAATGAAAAAAATTAAAAAAGAGGAAGGCACACTCCTTCCCTGCTTCTGTGCTTCAGTTAGCTGGTGACCAAAAATAGACCCACAGCATTAGCATCGCGCCTGTCTTCTTGTTAATTGTCTTGTTTTAGATGCAGATGTTTTTCACTTACAGACAGTGTTTTGGGGGGAATGGGAATACAAAATGTGCTGGTTTCGCATTTCTGAACCCTGTAAAACTTTGATTAGCTGGAATGGTATTGCTCTGCTGGAGATAGACACCACATCCAGGGGAGATGCAGCCCTTTTGTCTTAGCAGTGAGGCCTCTTTTAAGCAGGAATGCCTGTGGAATCAAGCATTTTCTTTGTTCCCTGAGATTCTGTCTTTTGATGTTATGAGAGAGATGCATGTATGTGTTTTCTCTTTCATTCTTTTTCATTTTCCTGTTTTAAAATATCTTTTTGCCTACATAAGGTGAAAAAGCAGAAATGATCAGTGGGCTAGTCACTGCTGTAGTCTCAGACGGGACGAGGAGCAAGCCAGTCTAGCAGAGCCTCTTGCCTGTAACACCAAAGAAGAAACACGTCCCAGGGCGGGGCTTCCTTGTGCTCATCCACTCTCTCGCCTCTTGCTCACACTCCTGATTGCTCATTGGCTGCACTTCAAAGACTCTGTCCACCAGTCAGGGCCCCAAGAAAAATTAAATTAGGAGAGAGCTGGGCCTCTAAGGAGGAAGCCCTAGGTTTGACTCTGAGCTCTCACTTACAAGCTGTATGACTTCATTAATCTACTGAACTCCTGTTTCATCATCGATAGATTGGGGGTGATCGTAGTATCTACTATGAAAATCAACTTAGGTAATAATTAGACCCACCTAGCACACACCATGGCATACAATAACAGCTCAATAAAGTTCACTTTTTGTGAAATAAAGCCCATTTTATATTTGCAACTACTGATTCTAAAAAGGAAGAGAACTGCATTAGGTTTATCTCCAAAGAAAAGTTCTGTGCTCCTTATAATTTAAAATACCCAACCACACCTCTTGATAACACAATTCACACCGAAGGCTACTAAAGAGATGTACAACGGCATACAACAAAGTATATCTTATTTTCAAAAGGATTATCTCATCCCTGATGGTTGCCAATGGTGATTTTCCACACACAGGCAAGAATTTTATAGACTCCCCTTAATAGCGATATGCCAGGATCAGTAACTGTGACAATATATCGTTTCATGACTCCAAATTCAACTCTTCTTCAAAGTACTGGAGCAAAATGCCAGCTAAGTGTGGAATTTACTGATTTAGCTGTGGAGGAAAGAAATTCTGCAGATCAGATCAATACAGCCAGTAAAAACAAACTGCAGAATCCCCATTTTCTGCCGGAGGTCTATAAGTGAGGGCATTAGATGAGGGGCCTGAATTATTTCTGAGCACTTCATCTTGAGTGGTTGGAAATGGTACTTTAAAACCATTACAGGGAAAGACTATGATTTTAGGTCACCATGATTAAATTAAACGTCCTGTTCAAAAAGTTACAGTTAACAGATTTTTAGGTCCGAAAATTAGAATCCATAAAAGAATAGTTCTAATCAGTCAAAATACCAAGACAAGCATGAAACCCCAATTAATTCTTTCATGACTTTTAGGAGCCACATCTCTTGCAATAAGAAGATGTACACTTAGAATACCATTTTTTTAGACAATGGGCAGCCATATATGGAAGGATTATTATCCATGACTACTTTTAAAACTACTTGACCATTACCATCACTATCATCATATTATATTTTTACTATTAATAATGCTTCAGCACTATAGTAGTTTTACTTTGATCTGCCTAGGGAAGTTAGTTGCCAGTATGAAGATCAGCCATATACGATTATCAAAAAAGACTGATAGTGTCACAAAGGTATCAACAATGGTACTGATAAGACTATAAATTAGTGGTTATTTTGAAGGGAAATTCAGCCTTGTCCATTATACTGTAAAACCCATATTTGCTTCAACCCAAAAGTACTACTGCTAAGTAATTCTCTAAGAAAAATATTCACAGATAGGTCGGCACAGGAAAATAGCCCATGAATTCAGAGAAATGCTGTGTGTATAAGTGAAAACATGTATATAATGTGAACACCTTCCTTCAGGAAATGGCTAAATGAGCTTTACTCATCCATGGTGTTAAAACTTTTGCAACAATTAAGACAAAATAACTGTGTACAAATAGACATGAAAAGATTTCTATAATCAGCAGTATATGTTTAGTAACAGGCTCTCCAGGAAAAGAAGCTGATTTGCAACGTTTGCTCTTTCCTGTGGTGTAAATACTCCTATCATGGCCAATTTCAAGCTCCCAATATGACGCTACTGAATGTGAAGTTGGAAAGAGATGCACACAATTGGCCCTGGCAAGCTGGCGCTAGTCAGCTCCAGCGCACCACTCTCAATATATCGTTCAGTGAGTAAGGAAAGGAGCAAACACAGTGTACTATACATGCACATCTGCATGCATAAAGATTGACAAGCAGGTCACCTCTGGGGAGGGAAGTAAACCTGCTAGTGGAGAGGATGTTAAGTAGTAACTTCTGCTGTGTATCATTTAAATAGTTTTCAGCTGAAAAAGTATTGCCAGTGTGATTAAACTGAATGTAAATGAACAATGACAATCATATATACCATATCCTAGAAAAGATCTGTGAGCATTTGATAAATTATCCTGAGACTGGCTTGAACTTGGATGGATGGATGGATGATGATAGATAGATAGATAGATAGATAGATAGATAGATAGATAGATAGATAGATAGATAGATAGATAGATAGATAGATAGATAGATAGATATAGATAATTTTGAGGAGTGAGGAGAGGAGCAAGAGAGACAGAGAAGTATGGGAGCCCACAGGGGGTGTGCAGGCTTGTCCAGGTGAGGCTGGGTTGGTTAAGGTGTAAGATAAGAGAAGGAAGGTGAAGGGAAGGCTAGAGGTGGGAAAGGGAAGCAACTTAGGTAGGAACAAAGGCAAAAGCAGGATCAGGAGCCTTCCGTGGATCAGCCCGGTAAGGGAGGAGAAGGGAAGAGAGGCTAGGGAACGGCAGCAGACTGTGACCCACCTGGGCAGGTGGGCCTGGCCGGCTCTGCGCTGCTCCGCTTGGGAAGCAGAAAGGCAGGGTGAGGGGGAGCCTCAGGGGCCTGCTGGTGTGTCCTCTTACCGGATGGTGAGGAGAGCTTATCTAATGCTGCCCATTCCACTTCCAAATCAGGAGCTGAGAAGCAGGATACAAGGTTCAGAGAAGTGGGAAAGGTTTGCAGTAGCCCTTGGTAAGAATGAAAATATGGGCTGAGCCATTGCACAGTTGCAGGGGAATGTTAAGGGCCAGCCTGGGTGAGGGGATATGAACTTACATTGAAACCAGTGTTCCCTGTTATGTAACCTTGTCTGACTCTGAGATTCTGGAGCAGACCTGCAGAGAAGAAATAGGTGGGTTAGTTAGGCAGAGGAATCCAGCTTAACAACTCCGAATCCCACTCACCGTGAGACGGGGGGCATCATTCATTGCATCTAGGCCTCGGTTTCAGCATCTGCTAAAGGGGGTAATAGCACATATCCAGTGGCATTCTTGGGCTGTGAAAGAAAGAAGCAGCCGTGGGGAGAGAATGGGTTGGGGATAAATGTGCTGGGTGTGTCTGAAAATATCAGAGCTCAGGCCACGACTCGTGTCTCTGCAGTCCTAATAAATCTCAGTGAAAAACAAAGGGTCAGTCAATAACGGAAGGCAGCTAAGTGAACATGACCCAGTCTGTGCTCAGGACAGGAGAAATTCCCAATAATTGGTGTTAAAGAGGTGTTTGACCTCCCTCAAAGGCACCAGAGGAGGTAACTCCCCAGAAGTATGGGGAAAGAGGCCTGGTCCCAGGCCTACAGACTGGCCAGAAGTCAATAGCCTCTCCTCCAAGCCCTATAGCAGGTCTGAGCATCTACACCAGGAGAAAAGTGACTCTCAGAATTTTTACTTCCACTCCCAGTGAACTGAGGTGGGGTCCTAGCTTCTGTTCAAGTTCCCTCTATTCTGGGGGAACAGAATTGTGCTATAAAAAGTCTCTGATCCTAGAGTGTCACATGCACCACAATTATTATGCTGATTAATACATCTCACAAAATACCTAGAATCTTCCTTCCTAATATATTCTGGGTGCATGTTCATGTCAGACCCAAATAGGAAGAGGTGATTAGTAACTGGTTGATCATCACCCACCCCACCACACACCTTGGCTTTCTTTCTGTTCTTTGAACACATCATGATCTTTTATACCTCAGGGCCTTTGAATCTGCTATAATGCCTTCCTAGAATGTTCTTCCTCCAGGTTTTCTCAGGACAAGCTCATGCTCATCTTTCAGGCCCCAGTCAAAATGTGTGACATTTGTAGGAATACAGGCTAGGGCTAAGCCACGACATGCCTTAAATATTGTACTAAGGAGTTAGGACATCATCCTGGAGGCAATGGGGAAAATCAAACAGATTCTTGAGCTGAGGAGAGACTCATTTTAATCAGAGCTTTAGATAAATCATTTCTGTGGTGTTGGTGGGATGGACTGAAAAAGGACAAGGCGGGGAGCAAGGAGATTGATTATGAGGCGATAGCAAAGGCTGAATGAAGTGAGACAGGAAGAAGATCAAGGGTAGTAATGGGAAGACATTGGAACAAGACTCATGAGTCAGCAAATGAATAAGCCCATGTAAACACACCCGCACACACGCACATTTGAATACACGGCTCAAACACCATAGAATATCCTCAGATTAAAGCACAGAGAGAAATGATGTCCAACAAACTTGCATGTGAAAGTGTGTGATGAGACCAGCAACTTGCAGGTTGCATTTGGCTTTTGGATTTTAGGTCCCTTCAGCACTGGGTGGGAGCAGTGCAGGGAGAAATACAGTCTTCTCTTCCTTTAATCTACACATGAAGAAGTCAGGTTTGCATCTGAAAATCAGCTCGTTATTGATCTTCCTCCTGTTAATATTCATGAGGCTCCATCAAGAGGTAGGAGATTTTAACACAGTGGCCCCCACACTCTGAATCAATTCTCATTGATTTCAATTGGCTTCCTCCACCCGAGCATTGACATTGCCCCTCCCGTGGAGACCTCTTCCCAAGGTCATTTGGAACCATCAGTGGTGGAAGTAGCTGGTCGGCCCTGCTGGCCACTTTCTGCACTGTGGGAGCATTTTGGGAGAGAGATCTGGTGTTTATGTAGCATCTGCTCCTTGTAGAGGCTCCATGGTGGGCCTGGCTGCCCCCTAAATCCATTCATCCCCAAAGGCAAGCTCCCCTCAAGTCCCAGCCACCAGGATGGCATATAGGGCTTCTGCCACCGTCCGCCACATGTCAGTTTCAGGACAAAGCAGATTTTTCCAAACACATAGATGCTACCTGTCTTTAAGGGCCTCTAACAAATTCAGGTGACAACCTACTCTATCCTCAAATACACTTACAAGTCAAGTTCAGAGCAGGATCCCACAAACTCGGAGCTCTGTCCTCTCCCTGACCTGCCCAAAGACCAACCCTGGGGCCTGAACCTTTCCTCGCAGCAAAGTTTTCCTTCAAGGGTCTGGAAAGCCAATTCAAGCAACTATCTTTTATTTTTATTATATTTTTTCCACTTTTTTTCTTTTTACTTACAAATTTTACTTTTGTTATTGCATTTTTATTTTATCTTATTAATGAAAGTACTTGCCTTGTGTATCAAGAAAATGTCCAAATGATGAGTTGTAGGACAGCATTAGCTCCTGATTATACCCCAAGGAAGGAGAATTATAATTGAACTTGGGAAAGCTTCTGAACCACGTGACAAGAAATTGGAGGCAGCCCTTGGCTAACAGCCAGAAACTGAAGCTGCCAACTACCTAAGTAGAACCTTCCCCAGACAAGCCTCAAGTGACACCCCAGCCCTGACTGACACCATGATTGCAGCCTCACTGGGGACCCAGCTAAGTCCTGCCTAGACTCTGGACCCACAGAAACTGTAAGATAATAAATGCATATTGTTCTAAGCCACTAAGGTGTATAATCTGATATTTCCTAATACATAACCAACACAGTGCTTACGTGGTTTACACTGCTGTAGGACTTCATAACTCAGTGTTGAGACAGCAAATACCAGGCCTTAGACTCAACTCTAACTTAAACTCCATGTATTATGAGAGCTTGGAAGGTACCAAGCACTGACTTTACATTTCTCATCCTCCCCAATCCTATGTGGTAGATAAAACTGTTATTCCCATTTAGAAGATGGGGAGACTGAACTACAAAGAGATTAGCTAGCTTTCCCAATACTGCCTACCTTGACAGAGGTGGGGGCATTGCTTCATACAGTGTCTAACTCCAAAAATACTCTTAAACAGTAAGCTGCCTCAAAGTGCTGAAACCACCCTGCAGAGTACATGGCCCTAAAAACAGGTTAGGTAGGCCGTTGTCTATATAAAGGGGTGTTACAGATGAGGAACTGAGGCTCATGGATTTCAAGCATTTCCTCATAGGTCATCTCCACTTGGTGGGCCCAGGATTTGAACCTGGGTCAGTTGACTTCAAAGCCTGCATTATTTCTATCTCTTTCGCTGCTTCCTTGCTCTGCAGAAGGTATAGTCAGAGCTTCGCCTTTATTTTTATCATCCTGATTAACAAACTCCTCTGAATTTTTCCTCCATTTGTTCATCCAACCTTTACTGAGCATTTTGCTCTGTGCCAAGTACATTGTAGGCCTTGGAAATACAAGGACAGATAAGACAGTATCTTTGTCTATGTCTCACTGCAGATTATTCTAGCAGCCAAGGGCATGTTTATGCCATCTGCTTTTGTATTTCCAGCACTAAACATGGTACTTGGAACTCAGATGCCCTTTAGGGTTCTTTTAGAGTTAGCAGCTTTCCATGCTGTTGGGGAGCAGTCTATGTCACTCTGCTTTCATAGCTGCGGCTTTAACTCCGTGAGATGGTCCCTAAGCACGGGCCACTCATCTTCACACCTCCATGCCTCTCCCCATAGTCCCTTCTGGTCTTTCCGCCTGGAATGCTCTCCCACCCCTCCTGTCCACGGACTCCCATTAACCCTTCAAAGCCCTGAAATGTCACCACCTTTCTATAACTGCTCTTTCCTCTACCAGCACAATGATGGTCACTTTTCTGTCACCAATTTTACACATTTCGATTACAGCACCTAATATATTCCATTATGGCTGTTTTTTAATTTCTTTCCTCCACCAGACTAAGTAACTTTGTAAATCCAGCTCCCAACCCAGCACAGAGTAGCAGTTCAGCAGTTACTAGATGAACCGAATTCAGTTCATTTATTCCACAAATATTTACTTATCACACCCTACATGCCAAGAATTAGGTTTAGGGATTCAGCAGTAAACTAAACAGGCAAAAAAATCCCAACCCTGGTGGAGCTTATATTGTGTGGATCCCACTAGAAATGCCTGGTTCTGTCGGATCCCACTGGCAAGGTTTTAATTAGCGTCCTTAAGACTGTCTTTCAGTTTGATGCCAGCTCTGGCTCTGTGACTTGGGATTTATCTTGGGAAGCCAGTCTGTGCACACACCTCTCCAGGCCTTGGGAAATCCTCAAGAAGTCTGTAAATCAAGGAGACCGTGTTGTTAACAAGCATACCGGCGCAAATCTGTCCAAATGAAGCTGTCTTCTCAGAAGCAGCCCCTGTGGGAAGCCATACTCCTTAGTGAGACTGCCAACATTTTGACTATTTTTGGACTCCTGTTTTGGAGCTGTCTGTGGAATGTAAGGCCCATTTGTGAACAGACTCACTGGGGGAAAATGTCCCTTTCCAAAGCTTCATTTGCCACTGAATAATGCCCGGCAGTGTTTCATAGACAAGGCAGGTGAATGAGCTCACTGATGTGGCTGTGTGCAAGCAAGACGAAAAGAACCACAAATACATACGAGTGTCTCATCAGACAGTGGCCCCATCGCTTAGCAGATGTTGCGTACACGGTGACCTATGTCTGGATTGGTAAATTCTCTTCCCTGACTACAATGTACTTATCCTTCCCCCTCTGGTCATCACCAATGTATTGATATGCATTGATGTATGGACATGGTGCCACTGTTACAGGGGGTGTACGCAATGTCCCTTACTCACGGGGAGCACTTCCATGAGCATGTGCGCACACGTGTGGAAGATCAGTGAGTGGAAATACCTAGCAACTGAAGTGCTAGGTTGTAAAGTGTGCATATCTTCAGTTTTATTTATTATTGCTAAATTGATCTCCAAATGAGTTGTGCCGATTTGCATCCCCTCTGGTAGTGTGTGAGAGGATCTCTTTCTCCATGTACTCAGCAAAAACCAGCATCATATAATAGGTGGGAAATGGTGTCTCGTTTTAACTTGCGTATCTATGACTTATTAATGTGGCTGAGCATTCTTCCTATATAAGTATTGACTATT